TAAAGAACCAGCATTTACACACGCACAAACAAACACACATATTAAAACATATATATATATACATATATATGTATATTATAAATATATATATATATATATATATATATATATATATATATATAATATATATATATATATAATACTATATATATATATATATATATATATATATATATATATGCTAAGTCCCTCCATATATACGCGTACGTATATATATTTCCCCACGTATTAAACGCTTCTTCCTACCTGTGGAGTGGTGACAATCAACGCGCCAGTGATACCACAGCCGGACAGGTACTGGACGGCAGACAGATGCTCATCCGAAGTACCAGGAGGGGTGTCTACTAACAAATAGTCCAGCTCACCCCAGTCCACGTCTTTTAAGAACTGCTTGATCATGCCTACAACCCAACACAGAAGAAGCACGCACGAGTGATTTGAGTATGGTTGTGTATTGCGTGCACAGATGGCATTTGATATATATGCCATGATAAACTGAGACGCCCGACACTTAGAAGTGCGGGTGTGAGTGTAAAACAGCCACACAGCCCAATGCCACACATCGTATGAGCAGGGTGGGCAGACTCATTAGCGCGACAAAGAAACTGAGGGAAAGACAAGAGGGTCGTATGTACACTTGTAGACAGCGAAGGCGTATTTAACGCATAAGTGTATACAGACTACGACTGTATGTATACGTGTAGTCGTGCACCAGCATACATATGATTTGTTAACTGTGTAAGAATGTATATTCTGACAGGATTACATTTACAAGCATATAGAGATAGAGCTGTATTCAGGTCTAGACATATATAAGCATAAGTGCATAAGTGCATGATAGTATATATATATATATATATATATATATATGTATGTATGTATATAATCATAAATAAGGCATGTCTAATATGCATATGCACATGTCTATTTCATAGAACATACACATCTGATTATATACACACATAAGGCAAGCCCAACACTGCGATTGTGAGCTCATTCATCCGTACTACAGACCCACACTCAGACCCCATCGACAATGCACATCCCGACTTCTAACCAGAATATCTACATGCCTACAATTCGGTTGAGTCAGGTATGTCTGGATACCACCACCCGTCAAGGCAAGTACATACTACTTAAGAATACCAGTCAACACACGCAGACTATGAGAGAGCGTTCAATACATGCTATACGATACACGCAAACTATGAGAGAGAGTTCAATACATGCTGCACACACCATTCTTCTTCGGGCCACGCCAGATCACGGCGTCATCAGGGTTAGGGAGTAAGAATCCCACACTCATGCACGCGATGTTATCATCGGCATACACTGGAGACCATCCGGTACCACTCTGGTGTACTGTCTCGCCTTCCAAACCCATAGCCTTGGGGATAGAGGGACCGCATATGTCCGCATCCACAACGCCTACCTACGAGTTTTATTGATATGGTAAGTACTGTATAGTTAGCAGCAGGTATGTTGAACAATCTATAGGCAATAGTTCACAACAGAAGTACACATCCACAACGCCTACCTACGAGTTTTATTGCTATGGTAGGTACTGCGTAGTTAGCAGCAGATATGTCGAACAATCTATAGACAATACTTCACAACAGAAGTACAGAAGTACAGCGACACAAAGTGATACATACAGCAAAAAAAAAAAATAGGCTCACAAACAGCCACATAACACATGTATATATTTGAATATGCTCTCACGAATGTGTATAGATTATGCATATATGGAAAGAAACAAAAATACAAACAAACACAAACATAAACGTACACGCACACACACATATATATATATACACACATACACACACACACACACATATATATATATATATATATATATATATATATATATATTTATATAATGCGTTTACATACACACACTATAATATATATATATATATATATAGATATATAGATGCATATATTTATACTATACGTATACACACACTAATATATATATATATATACATATATATATATATCCATCTATATATATATATATATATATATGTATAATAATATATATATAATATATATATATATATATATATATTATAATTTAATAGTGATCTACTCATTTAAGTATGCATATAGTCTCAACAGATTAAGATAGTAAATACCATACCGTGAGCGACACGATCGCGCTATCCATAGCTTTCACCTTTCATATATGGTATTCAAAATTACCAAACTGATAAAAGTCTTCAGAGCCTCAGTGTGCATATGTTATATAAGAGTAGATTGGCGAAGGTCACACAAGTGTTCATTCGTACCTGAATATCTTCATCCATGCCCAGGGCAAAGCTTAGCTGCGCAGTGCACGTACTCTTCCCCACACCTCCTTTCCCACTCAACACAAGTATCTTATGCTTGATATTCTTAAACCTTTCTGTAACTACGTCTATATCCGGATCAGGGCCTTTAGGTGTGCTGTCAGCACATATCTTCTGGTTAGGACATCCATCACAACCGCTAGCCTTTCCGGCTTGCTCGCTCTCGGTCCCTGGACAGTGCTCGGGTGCGTCCTCAGGCACGTCTCCTTCTACTTCGTTGCCCATTATGATAGGACTGTATGTCTTTGTAACTGATGTATACGAGATGAATATGAATAGTTTCAACTACGCCTGTATATATGTAGTAAATATATACATAAATATATGATTACGAAATGATATTACGATATACGTAGAGATATCAGTACTTACAATACATACAATCATTTGTCCATGCATCTGTGCACACCTGCTGGCGCTGCTCAGCTGCTCTCAGTCCTGTCATGCTTTTTTTTGGCACCTTTATTATTAGGTGTATTGTCGTAAAAACCAGGTTTATTCACTTATTATTATGATATAGGTTGTATTGACAGTCCCATCCGACTCCCACACATGGTTATTCACGAACTTTTTTATTTCGGTCCTAAATTCCTAAGGGCCCGGTTTTAATTCCCAAATATATTTGATATTTATTTAAGAACCCCCTCAATACGTTCAGGACTACAGGCCTGCGTTCGATCCTATAAACTTGAAAACGCTATTTATTTATGTCAAACGTCTATATTTATCGTATTTGCCTAATAATTAAATAACTGTCGCTTTGGGTGCATATTCGGACTTAACAGAGGCACATAGAAACCGCATATTTACAAATTAGATTTTTCTTTAAAAATCTAAAAAAGAATACAATGCAAAAAAACAAAAACATTACAAAAAGCAATCAAAAACCATATTTAGCCCTCTCTGAATTTCTGAATCATGCAAAAAAATGTTTGATTCAGAACTTTTAGAAAGTCTCATTAGAGAGTTTTCAAGTTAAAATATATATACTAAATACACTCTTATTTATTGTACTGCAACCCCAAACACAACATTGTTTACAAACAGCTGTGACCGTGGTGTACTTTTAAAATATGTTCGCAGGTGGGCGTTTAGGCAGGTCTCTGCTGGCCTCAGTTACGGCTTTAAGTGGGTTTGCTGGCGCTGTAGCGTTTACTACGGGTGTGGCCAAGGCAGAGGCACTTCTGCCGAACGACCCCCCTAGGCCGAAGACATATACCGTTGGATGGGATGACAATTGGGATAAGGTTCATATTATAATTATATATATAAATATATATATATATATATATATATATATATATATATATATATATATATATATATATATATATATATATATATATATATATATATGTATATATATATGTGTATATATATGGATAT